TGGATGACGCAAGTTCTGGGTAATTTACCAGTTATCCTTTTCGGTCTAGGCGCGTAGGGATGATCCGATCAACGACAACGTTTAGTCAAAGGACTGTATATCCTCGTTATTATATAACCCAACACTCCCGTGCTTTTAATTATTATGAGCTACTCATTCAGTAGATACTGTTTACATCCGTGGAATTCAAAACTATTTGTATAGTTTACTTTGTTCCCTCTTATAAATAACAGCATGATTCATCCGAATTATGATAATTCTCTCTTAAACGCCAAGGGAGTTTGGAGAATTTGTGAACATTTACCGGTACAAATCTTACAACACCGTTGCTTCCAGCGTCAAAAAGACCTAATCTCCGTTTTAAAAAAAAACTACACAATTTCGTAGGGTAATTAGATTTACTCAGAGAAATTTTTCATCTAGGCCCTTTTACATCAAATTAAAATTTAGAGTTGATTTTTGCGGAGGGAGGAAAACCGGAGAACCCGGAGAAAAACCCTCGAAGCCCAGGAGAGAGCCAACAAAAAACTTTACTCACGTACACCGAGCCCGGCGGAACTCGAACCCAGGTCGCATTGATGTGAGGCGAGCGCTACGCCACCCATGCATCCCTTTTCGTTTTTGTTGTCGTTTTTATTCGTTTTTTTAAATTTATTTTATTTTATTTTATTTTAATTTAATTTAATTTTATTTTATTTTTTTCTTCTTCTTCATCTTCTTCTTCTTCTTTTTCTTCTCATTTCCATGAGTACCGTATTGTAATCTACTGGGGCTCACTAATCTTTTAGTGCTTTTCGACTGGGAGCTTATAAGAAGGGAAGCTTATTAGAGGCTTGGCCGGCTTTTAAAMTAAATCTTCCTGGTCTTTGGAAATTTATAATTACTTTTATTCATAATACCGACAGGGGAAATGACTTTCAAAAGGCCTGCCAAAGAAAATCGACCGCAGCGTTTTTTCAGGCTGGCGGTGCTTATTAGAGGCCATGAGCTTTTTTAATTTTTGGCAACTCAGACTGGGGGGCTTATTAGAAGGGGGTTATGAAAGGCTGGTGGCTTAATAGAGGAAAAACGGCATTATTTTACCCACTCTTGAGAAAGATATAAATGAATGGGCTTAAACACAAAAACTTTTTCTTCAGTGCAAACGAATAAAAACATTTTGGCCTTCATTTGCTTATTTCCAATACATTTTCTATAAAAAAAAGCCTGACAAAGCTATATTCCGAACACAAATGCACCAAAACTTGTTTGTACAATTGAAAATACCGCTTCAAGCATTTTATCATAGTACACCAGTTTCTAACTGTTAAAAAAAGGTTTTGAGTGTTAACCCAAAACGAAAATTGGCATCAAAACTCATACGAAAGTCTAGTTTTTGGCGCTTTTTGCCATTATTGCTCGTTATTGAAAAAACTTCCTCTTAAAATCAAACCTAAATGTCTAACTGAGTAAGCTGCTAAACTACCTCTAAGTATTTACTGTCTAGCTGTCAATATATCTCAAAATATGTGCCAATTTAAGTAATATTTTTCTGCTCCAAGCTAGACAAAGTGTCCCTAACGTCTCGACAGTGTTTCATTTTACGTGTTAGAGTTTTGAGCCGGAATTCGGCAGATAGTCAAGATGGTTGTAGATACTGATAGACTTGCCTAGTTTAATTATTCGAAATAATGAAACAGAAATTTAGGCAATTAATTACAAATAGCTCGAGTTAGAGAAACTAATTGACAGAAAACAGATATGCAGAGGAAATTTTGTAAAAGCAGCTAATCTAGTCTAGAGGGCTGGAAGTGGAGTTTCTGGTCTAAAATGATAGCTTTCAAGCGCACTATTTCTCTTGCTATCTCACTCTTTGCTTTTTGCTTTTTAGTCTTTTATTTTTTCGCTTGAAGTTTCTTTCTCTCTTTCTTTCCTTCTTTCTTTCTTTCTTTCTTTCTTTCTTTC